ATATCGATATATATATTATAATATATATAATATATATATATATATATTATATATATATATATATATAGATATATATATAATATATTATATATATATATTATATATATATATATATATATATATATATATATATATATATCATATATATATATATTATTATATTCTATAATATATATATATATATATATTATATATATATATATATATATATATATATATATTAATATATATATATAATATATATATATATATATATATAATATATATAGATATATATATATAATATATATTATGGTGTGTGTGTGTGTGTGGTGTGTGTGTGTGTGTGTGTGTGTGTGTGTGTGTGGAGAGAGCAGAGAGAGAGAACGAGAGAGGGGAAGCAGCATATAGACAGAGAGGGGGGGTGATATCGCGTATCTTCCACAGGAGCATCCTCCGCCTTCCCCGCTATAAACTTAATTCCAACAAGTGCACTACGTGCAGACGGTGAAAGCACAGAACATCCCCAGACTGTGGAACCCGCGCGTTGTCAAAGGGTCCGCCTGGTATCGTTCAGTCAACAGGACGAGATGAGGCTGTCCTTCATCACAGACGATGCTCAGCCCACGGTTGTGCTTTGGCCGCGCTGCAGAGGGCTTCCCCGGAGGAGAGCTTTCTTTCGATTCGATGGCTACGATCTACTACTACTATTGCACAGTACGACTACTACTAATACACTACTCATACTATTACTACTACGCTACTATACTATACTATACTAAACGCACACACCCACGCACTTACCTCACAACACACACACCCCACCACACACACACACACACACCCACACACACACACACATACCACCCCCACACACACACACAACACCCCCACACCCACACACACACTATATATATATCTCTCGCTCTATATTAGATATCTATGTTAGATATCACTCTATCTACTGCCTATATATCTATATAATATATATATATATATATATATATAATAATATTATATACATACACTACATATAGATAATATATATCTATATCTCTATATATCTTCATAATCTATATATACTATCTATCTATATCTATCTCATCTCTTATAATATGGTTGTTGTGTGTTGTGTGTGTGTGTGTGTATGTGTGTGTGGTGTGGTGTGTTTGAGTGTGTGGTGTGTGGTGTGTGTGGTGTGTGTGTGTGTGGTAATATAGATATATCGATAATATATATATAATATATATCTCTTATATCTATCTGTAATCAGATATATTATTATATATAGATATATATATATATATACTATAACATACCTACATACATATATATATATATATATAATAATCTAATATCTATATGCTATTATATCTAATATATATCTATATTATATATATACTAGTAGAATATCTATAATATAATTTGTGTGTGTGTTGTGGTGTGTGTGTGTGTGTGTGTGTGTATGGTGTGTGTGTGTGTTGTGTGTGGGGTTGTGTGTGTAAACAATGTGTGTGTGTGTGTGTGGTGTGTGTTTTTTGTGGATATATTATATATATCTATAATTACTCTATATCTATATATATTATATATATATATAATATATATGTCGTATATATATATATAATATTATATCTTATATCTATATATACTATATATATATCATAGTATAATATATATATATATATCTATATCTTATATGTATATAATATAATATATATAGAATTTCGTATTATATATATATATATTATCGTAGCTATATATATCTCTATATACCTAATCTATTATATATAATATATCTCTATATATATATATATATAATATAATCATAATTTAGCTATAAC